AGCGCCTTCTCCATCCACAGGATGGTCTTTTCAACATGCCGCTACCCTGTCCGTGACTTCATGACCTCGGGAAGTCTGTGTGTCTGTGTGTGTCTAAAAACACATGTGGGGGTGGGGGGGGGGTCTTTTTTTTTTTTTCCCCCCCTGTATTTGAAGACATCAATACTTGGGGCTGACTTCACTTCTATTGGCAACTTATTCTATTTGCATGGGGCAGAATAACTAACTGCCACTTCACCATGTTTGCTTTGAAACCTGGGCTCCACTATTTGACCTGAGTTTGCACTGTAGTTGCACAGTGCTGTGTTCACCCTCTTATTACTGGGATGAAGCTGCGTTGTATAAAGTGATTGAATTCAAACTAAAATTAAATGGGAGTCAACATACGCCTGACACGATTTAAAGTGCCTCTGATTAATCTGAAATAAAGATGTGTTGTTCTAGTCAGCTCTTCTTCTTGCTGAAATCTTGCTGATCGATTAATTTTAAAAGCCAAGGATGCGTGAAAAGCTAAGAATGCGGAAAATGTACAACAAGAGTCATGGTTTCGGGGAAAAAAAACCCGAATTGCAACAAGGACAACTGGCAATGCAGAATAATCACGGCAGCGTTCTTCATCTTCTGCTGCACTTAAAAACTCCGTTGATTAAGATCCGCCACCACTGGAGTCACATGCACAAATCCCATCCAAAGCTAATCAATCTTCACTTTTCTTATGTATTGAGGAAGCTATTTTTTGGTGGGTGTTGTAAACTGCGTGCACAGTTACGTTGCAGCGTAATTATGCTGCAAGTTGCCCAAAAACACAAAATCAACAACATAGCAAAAGCATTTAAAATCATTGAATGCATTCCTTTTTACATGATTTAGATACAAAGGCACATACAATGTCTTCAAAAGCCAAACCACACAAGGCCGTGGCAGACTCAGAGTGGATTGCTGGCCTGAAAAAAGTTTGGCAGCAGCTCAGGTTATGTAACCTGTGGATTCAGATGGCAACAGCAGCCCCGCTACCTCCAGCAGCGGAGGATCCCAACCAATTATTATCAAAGCCCCGCAGCACAAAGTTCAACAGTCCAAAACCTTCGCCCCTGAGCAGTAAGTCCAGAAGTAGGCTATTTAATCGAGGAACATGATATGGAGGACGCGTGTAAGGAAGAAGATCAAGGTTTCTGTGACAGAGGACCCCTCAGTGCTGGCCTTGGAACCCTTTCTGGTTCTTCAGCATCCCTTCCTCCTGGTTTCCTGTCCAGTAGCTTACATTCTAGTCTCCTTCACCATGGTTTGATAAATTTGAACCAATTTGACAGACTTGAATTTGTTACCCATATACAGTACGAATAGGTACAGTGTATGTAATTGTTTTTTTTTTCTAGGCTGACATAATGCTGTCGGAAGCAGCAGGACTATTAAAAAGGGGAAGCTTTGAAGTATTCCTCCAGCGGAATGAGCGATGTGCCTCCGGTCCAGTCCTGCAACCACACTTGGATCAGCTCCAGCTTCATGAAGAACCACTTGTGTCCCACAGGCCATTTTGCCATCATGGGATGCCTGGAATTGAGAAAGAAAGTGACATTTAGTTTCATCTTAAGTAAATTGATATTTCTGGCAACTTTTACTCCACTACTTTGTCGAAAGAAAATGTGTACGTTTACTCCGATACATTTCCCCAACTATCTTTGTTAATCATGACTTCAAAATAAAATCACAAGAACTTGTTCGCACACAAAGCGAAAGAATTGTCTTGCCTGTCCACAATTTACCCTACGTGGAGCATTGAAAAGATGAAAGCACCAGCTGCTGACTCTGTTTGTTCGCAAATCTCCAGCTCAGATGCTGACCATCATGACTACAATACTGAACTCTGGGGGTGTGATAGACAGACATTACCCAATTATACACACAGCATGTTGAAAGTGATCATTCACAGCAGGGAGTCGGCAACTCAGGTCCTCGAGGGCCTCCGTCCTGCATGATTTATATGTCTCTTCCTCCGACACACGTGATTCAATTCGATTTATCAGCTCATCAGCAAACTCTGCAGAAGCTTGATAACGATCCTGATCATTTGAATCATATATTATACTGCCCCCTGGTGGCCAGGATGCACAAATCACAAGAAGCCACAAGATAAATAATTCATGATGCACAAACTCTTCAATTCTTTACATTGTATTGTATTTGTTGTATTTTCTATAAAAGTAAATACTATAGAGTGCTATTTCTGTCATTAAAAACCAACTTAGAACATTTTGTGTTGTTTTTCTTTTGGGGCGGCGAGAATGAATTAATGGCATTCTCATTCATTTCAAAGGAGGCCAATGATTAGATACGAGTGTTTTGAGTCAAGACAGCATTGTATTTTAAGAGTGCTCACTAGTTACCTGGAGAACATGGCCTCCTTGGCGAAGGCGAGCTCCTCTGGCGTCACTTCCACCATCTTGCCTGTCAGGGTGAGTCGAGCACATCTCGGGTCCTCTGGGTCATATATCATTTGTCTGGAGAGAGAATGTTACAGTACAATCTAAGGAGGAACAATACAAGAGCTCTGGAATACTGCACTCTACTCTATACTGCACAAATTATAATGTGTGTATATATGTGGTCAAACTACAGTAAACTACTGAAAATTAAAGTAACATATAATGATGTTGGGAGATTGTTACTCAAGAGGACTCTAGCTAGATGGACTGGTACAAGTGGAATGACGTGCAAGAGTCAATCAGTACTATACAGGCCAGTCGAGGAAATCAAATGTACATAAAACCCCTACGAGTCCACGGTCGTGCTATTTTACAGAGTTGTTTCTTTTAAATACAGTTAATGAAGAAACTGATGAAATCTTGTGACCCCTGTCAGTCATTCAAGTTGCCCATCCCTGCAGTATATTTTTCAAATACTTATATTGTCACTGTTGTTTCTAACTGCAAGCATATCAGAGGTGGGTCAGAGTGCGCTTGCCTGCAGAAATCACTCTCAGCCTCCGAGAAAGTGATGGAAGCGTAGGGGTTCATTTTCAGGTCAGACACCGTGTTGTCCATGGGCGTCACATAAAAGTAGATGACCCCTGTGCTGTTGTCCAGTGGTCCATCACTGATGGAGAAAATATTCCCAAAGGGGAGACCTTTGATCTAGAAAAAAAACCAACAGAGAAAAAAATAAATCAAGCCTAACTCATTATAACTACGGTATGTACAGTTATCTTGACTTTATAGGATATGTGTAGAGCGAATGTTATTGCTCTGTTCTTAGCATGTCATTAAAATAAAAAACTCCAGCCTATCATCCGTTGTGAAGTGTCACTTGATTGACATACAGGGCAGACAGTCATACGCCTGTTGCATGCCTCATCGCGTTATTAGGGTTCATGCAGTTATGCAGGTACATCAATATGCATTGTACACATAAAGAATTCTATGTTTAGCTATTGAAAATAAACAAACACAGTTGCCATATCATTTGGACATGCTCATTTTAAAAGTACCTCGCATGCTGAAAAAGTGTGGGCACCCCTGCTTTTGACCCAATGAAAGTTAGTTCTTCGAGTCCAGTTTTTACTTGGGGGGGGGGCAAATAAATCGATTTTTCATCTAAATCCAACGGTCATGTTCGAACCGTTAATTGTGCCATGAGTAGTCATTTGATAGAAAATTGTTACAGTGCTTGTACAACGTCTCTGTGGCGCAATCGGTTAGCGCGTTCGGCTGTTAACCGAAAGGTTGGTGGTTCGAGCCCACCCAGGGACGCAGAGTTTTTATAGGACGTGACAATAATATTCAGTTTTTAATCGAACGCCATTTTGTGAAGTGATATTCGTCACAAATTGTGGATTTTTTATCTTGAATGACACCGGGTGGTTGTACTACCTTGTCTTGGCTAGATATTGTGGCCAGGGAGCCCCAGTCGCTGCTGTGAGCGATGTATCTGGCCGTTCTCGCGGTCTCCTGATGGGGGGGAGGCCCGCTGCCCGCCACCTTTACCTTCTCCGTCCGATAGGAGAAGAGGCGAGCGGGACGCTGAGCCACCGTACTGGAGTCGCCCTCGGGCTGCACTCGCTCCCCGGGATTCTTGATTACGCCTGTCGGGTACGCCTGCTTCCACAGCCCGCCGCCTTCCACCAGCAAGGCCGGGGCGACCTCCTCTGACAGGTCGGCGTCCTCCACCGCATCATTGGAGGAGACTGCCCAGGAGACGGAGTTCCTCAGAGTGTAGCCCGTACATGCGGTCAGAATGTTGGCCAACACTGGCAGGGTGAAGTAAAAAGTGCGCCTCATGAGTTCTGTTCAGCAATGGCTGCCTTCAAGAGACAATTTATGTGCGTAATGCGAGCGTTTCATAATCAGCAGCTGACCCCTGTTGGCATGGTAGGGTACTACATACACCGGTAGAAAGAAAAGGCCAACAATTGAAGAAAGCCGCAAAGTCAATGAATGAATGAATGCTGTAGCCATTAATATTGTTTCAGAGTCTTATCGCCTTGTATAACCAGTGACAATGAATATGTTTATTATTCAGCTATGCTATAAGTAACAGTGAAGTCACTTCCAGAAATATTGTTTATTTCAAAGTGTTGGAGAGGCAATTAATGAGTTTATTGTGAAAATAACACGAAAACTTTACAGTATATTACAGATCAATACACAAACCTATGGATAGAATTACAAATGGATTAAACATCTTAAACCCTGTCGTCCGTGAAGGTGTAGTTTGCCCATAGCAAAGGTGAAGAATTGCTTTCCTATATCAGTTTTCAGACTACATTTAAGGAATGCAACAATCGAACAAATGTTTATTATTATACATGATGATCAGCTGTTGGTTAAATGTTTTGGGGGCTTATATAAATTACTCTGATGACTTTAATTTGCTTTTGGAACTGCTTGAATGTCCTGTCCAAATTCTTTGATGGTGTGCAAGTCGTCCACAAGAATGTATTTTCCCTATCCTGGTGTTTACACAGTTATTTGCAGTGGCTTTGTGCGAAACCTGGTACTGTACTAGGTTACAGGGCCCAATTCACATAAATAATTAAAGGGGACAGATCATGAAAAATGGACTTAATAATCGCGCCTGCCTGTCCACTAAGTGTGAAATTCAACAAGTACATAAATCTTTTTCGAGCTGTCTATTTTTGAAATGTATCTCTGACTAAGCTCGCCTATTTTATATAATACCGCCCTCACAAAGAGTTTGGAATATGCGCAGATCCGCACACTGAAAGTGTAATTCGGTGACTTAAGAGATGAAGTGCTGCCTCCAAATGCGAAAACACAATCCATGCTTTTACTGTTGTCGTGGCTTCGCAGTTCACACTCGCTTATTTAGACTTTGGTCAAAGTAGCCTTCCCAGGCTTTGCCCCCATTCGTCCTAGTATCATAAACTACCCTCACCTTAGCACACCCTGCGGAAGTGGCTCATTCGCATGAGATGGGACTTCCCATTCAAAACAGGCTAATTTTCCATTTGTATTCCAAGTATGCTCTGAACCTTGGGGTACTGACAAAAAAACAAAAAAACAAAACAAGATGTTTTAAATTGTGAAAAATATAAGTTGTGTTTGGCTCCTTAGTCCATGGTCTTGTAACCCAAAACAAGATGTTTTAAATTGTGAAAAACATAAGTTGTGTTTGGCTCCTTAGTCCATGGTCTTGTCACTCCACGCCATGGACTTCCTCTTGGCCAGTTCCATCCAGGAGGGTTGAGCATTATCGGGCATGGACCTCAGGATGGGTGATGAGGAAGGCGACGGAGAAGACCCCAGGTTTTTGCGCATCCATTTCTCCTCTCGAGGTCTGTCAGGAACTCTGGCAGGGCTCTGGGACTCTGGAAAAGAAAACAATGTTATCTGGCTGCGACGTTTGATTTGGGAAGTGGATGAAGGTACCGCATGCACCTGGAAGTTTGAACCCTTCTCTTCCCTCAGGTTTTGAGTCTTTGCTTTGTGTGCGGGGTTCATTCGATGTCTTGGTTTCCAGTTGCGCTTTCCTCAACTCTACCTGATGAAGATCAGGGATCATGAAAACAGAAACCGTATTTTCCGCACTATAAGACGCACCGAAAAGCATTCAATTTTCTCAAAAGCCGACAGTGCGCCTTATAATCCGATGCGCCTTCTATATGGATCAATATTCAAATTTCTTGGACGTAGTATGTTAAAATAATGTAAAGCGCTTTGTTACAGCTGAAGCGGTTGTGAAAGCTCTGTATAAATAAAGCTGTATTGTATTGTATTTCCGTTAGTGTAGCTCCATCCAGTGGATGCATAACGCAATCGCAGCCACTATTGTAGCTTCTCCGCTCCTTATTATGCGATGCGCCCTATATATGAAAACAGTTTTAAAATAGGCCATTCATTGAAGGTGCGCCGTATACTCCGAAGCGCCTTATAGTGCGGAAAATACGATAACAGAAATAGGGATGAGGATGTCGCCGAAGCAGTGTTGGGAAGTAACAAAGTACAAATACTTTACTGCACTTAAGCGGGTATCTAAACTTATCTAAACTTTCTACTTATACTCCCTATGTTTGAAAACAGATATCTGTAGTTTCTACAAATGTATTTTTCAAAATAGGCACGCTGTTTCCAACCTCAACAAAAACTAAAGGTGGTTGTGATCTTGATTGAGTGATTCATATCTTGGAGACTGAAAAGGCGGAAAAAAACGGGACAGCAGCGACGTGGAGCAATGTGAACTAGGGTTGCCATAACAACTATAACGGCAAAAGATTTGGAGAAGCGGAAAAGTCCCAATCCATGGCCTTATTTAAGAAAATGTTGTTGTAATGTTGGCTACTTGTCAGCTATGATGAGTCCTTTTGCCAGTTCTGAATGGAAGATGGTTAAAAAAAGAAGTACGAACCCCCTTTGTCCCAGATGGACAACACCACTCTGCATGTCTCTCCAAAAACGCAGCCTTCTCGCTGACGGATCCAGCCCAAGCGCTGTGCTTGGCCAGCAGCGAGGGGCTCTCCTTTTCCTGCACTGTCCATTTCCCTTCGTCCACTGCAGGTGTTGTATATTTGGGCTGCTGTGCTATAGCGTGAAGACCTCGGTGGCTCCAAGGTGGCGGATGCTGCTCTGAGGCCTGATAAGACCGCGCCACTGATTGAGTGACAGTGGACCCTGCTCCAAATGGAGATGGGCTATCCGACAGGGGAGCGGAGCGCGATGGAGACTGGGTCATCCATACATTTGTTGTCGAGGTGGGCTGACTTGTATTTACATGTGATGGTGGCACTTCCGGTTCCTTCCATGTGTTTGTTGTCTTTTGGGACGATTCGATATGCTCCGTCATCCCTTTGCCGCCATCGGGTTCTGATCTCTCACATTCTGGTGATCTTATAGTCTGAGATTTCACATGTAATATCTCACCGAGGTTTGGTGTCTGTGCTGTTGGTTGTGGAGCATTACTCGTAAAATCCTTGGGAAATCTTCTTGCAAAAAGCTGGTGCAGGCTTCTGGTCTTTTCCATCGCTAGGCTTACCCAGGATAGCTCAGGCGAAGCTGTTTGCGGGCCGGATTGAAGCTCCTGAGACTGATGTAAGGAGGTTGTTTGGATGTCTGTGGGTAAGGTGGGAGCCTCAAAGATAGATGGAGGGCTTGGCTTGGCTGGGAGGGCTGGGTCTGTGAGGCAAAAAAAAAAAAAAAAAAAGGAAGCGCATATTTTAAGTGTGAGGCATCCTTAATTAGCCTTACAGTTGGTGTCTATGTAATGACAATTAAAAATATAAAAATAGTTTCCGCTCAGGTGTAAATTACATTTCACCCACGGTTTGAAATTAAAAATGAAATAAAAAATTATATAACTTTTTTTTTTTTTTTTAAATCCAAAGGGCACAAAATAGGATTTTGGTAATTTGCCCCCCTAAAACAAACAAGCCTATGAACTCACCTGTCTGTGTGAAATCTCCAGCATTGGCATTTTTGGACAGGCTTTCACTGTCTTTACTTTGTTGACTTTTCAGTCCATCACTTGGCTCCTCAGTCGACGGCTTCCTTGACTGACGCCTGGAAGATCCATCTGACCAAAATCTCATGGAGTTAGAAGTGGAGCGGAGTTTAAACCCGAACATGGTCTTTCCTTCTTCTTCTTTGACTTCCACCTTTGTTGCCACCACGAGCACCTCCGTCGCTTCCCGGCTGCTCTCCACTTCCTCCGATGGGACAGCATCTCCGGTTTTCGCCGATTCCACATTTTTTGCACTATCCCGCCTTCCCCACGGAAGACCCGAGCTTTTCTGCTCCTGCCTAAATCTTCCCGCTGTAAAAAATCTTCCTCCAGGGTGCAGATCTTTACACTGCTCCCTTTCCTTCAGGCTTAACGTTACATCTTCAACCGGTCCTCCTGACTTGTGTCTGAACCCCGCCTGCCCCACGACTCCCACAAAACTGCCTGATCGGGGTCTGTCTTCGATGCGGCTCTTGGCAGAGCTAATGGAGAAATGGAAGGATCCGGATCCGGGTCTTTTTAGTCCTCTTACGCTGTCTACTTCGGTTTCATCCTGCGGACAAATGGGTAAGGACAACGCTGATGCGCAGCTATCGGAAAGCTGGCTACAGGAGACGATTTCGCTCTTATCGAGGATCTTGACTTCAACCCCAGATTCCTCCGAGCTGTCCATTGCGTCTTTCGCTTCGAAGAATGGACGCGGTCTATGGCTAGACATCACAAAGGAACGTCTCTGAAGTTTCACTTGAAGCTCCTGGGAGGACACAGGAGAGAGTCTGCCAGGTAAGACACGGTCCAGAGTGGGGTCCGATGAGAACACTTCCAGCTGGGTGGCTTTAGGCAGTGATGGTTGCGACGCATTGATTCGAGCTTGTTCTTCCTCCCGTATCACTTCCTCGCTCACGTGTTCGTCTGTCACAGGTTCAAGATGGTTGTTCATGTCATGCACCTTCGCGTCAGGCCGCTAAAATAGACAACAGCGTTTGTAAGAATAAACAGCTGTCTTCAGAATAAGGAGTGAATTGTTGTCAAATCGAATTCATTTGCGTTACAAATTAAGCATAATCAATTGTTGAAATGGCTGGCACTTACATGGCTTGTAATCATTGTGAGGCACCTTGTAATTGCTTATAATAATAGTGTAAACCGTAAATATACAACAAACTATATTCCAAAAACACTTAAATATCGTTTCAAATTTTTGTGCGAGCTGTGGTTCCTAGCTTGAAAAACTCATAAGCCACCATTACATATGACATTGCAGAAGTAATATTGCATAATGTGGCAAAGATGGTCACTCACTTCGGCCACCCTTCTCTTGGTGCTGGCCCTCTGATTCCGGGGCTTGACGGACATGCGGTGTCTGGCGGCGGACGTGTCCAAAGAAGGGGTGAACTGTGCCGGAGTGCTTAAGTCCAACGGGGGCTCGCAAGGTAAAGTGATGGTGGGGCGAGGCGGGATGAACGTCGGGGACAGCGTGGTGGCGGCTCCAGATTTGGAAGCTGGAGGTTTGAAGATGGGGGAGAGTGGACGTGAATTTGGCTGGGATCGCACCTGCGAAGACAAACACAACAAAATATTGTCTGTGGAGAATATCTTCCATGTTATAAAATGCTAATTGCTCTGAGATTTATTTTTTTAGCAAACGATTAACTACAGTAGACTTCATAAAAGAAGACTTTTTGACATAGAAGCTGTCTCTCATTAAATTATGCCGGTGTACTTAAAGAGCTGTTGGATGAGGGCAGTTAAAATGAATGAAATGAACTGGGAATATTGGACAGTCGTCACCTCTAAAATTAGGAGTGAGGTGCATTGCCACTGTGACTTCCTGTTGCATTACAACTGGCATTTCCATTAAGACTAGATTATTGATTTGGGGTTTTACTATGGGCTGTGGTTCAATTATTTTTATTATACTTGGCTGACAGTTGAGAAGTTTGAAAAAAAAAGTGACGCATGAAGTAAATTTGTGACACGACTTTACTTTTGCATTACAACGCGATGCTAATGCTAGCTTTGTATTGCATGTCCTGTTAAAGCCGAGCCATTTAAAATGATGTTTTATTGATTTGATGTCTTGTGGTCAATTGCTTTTTACACTTGTATAACAGTTAAATGTTACTTAAAACAATTCATGGTATCTCTTGTTTTTTTTCACCTTCTTGAGGGCTCCGTGGGTTGGGACATCCACGGTAGAAAATTCTGGGCTCTTGTGAGGAGGAAGGCGCTCCTCGGAGCGGCCGCCCTCATCCTCTTGCCGCCTGATTGTCAGAACGAGAGGAGGCGGTCCCAGATGCATCTTCTGCTGCTGAAGCTTCATCTGTGAAAACACAGTATCTCTTGAGTTGCAGCCTCAGTTTGGAAAAATAAATGAATATAATCTCCCTTCATTCCCGTACCTTACCTGCAAAGCTTTGATTTTGCTGTGAACATTCTCTTGCGATAACACCCTGACGGGATCACTGTCGTCGTCGTCTGTCTGCACCTGGTCGGCCCAGAAGATGCTGTCGTGGGAAAGCGCTCGAGATCCCATAATTCCTTGGGGGAATCTGAAAAATGATACACCAATTGATGAGACAACACCCAGCTATTTTCTTTCCTGTTCAGCATCTCGCCGGAGTTGACTTTTCAAAACTAACAGGTTTTTGTTCTACGTTGACACGAAATGTGCGTAACCAACAACAGCAAGAGCCCGGACGCTCTTAGCAATAGCAGTAGCACTGCTGTCAGTGTCAGTGAAGGATGATGTCGTCGAGACGAAGTGCAAAATGAGAGTGTAAGCGTATTCATGTGATTGAAACGCGTTAAATGTTGTTTCATGTTTTTATCAGTTCAAGTGAAAGCGTTGAGATGATTCCCTTGTCAGTTAATAATTGACAAGAAGGATTTCATGGACTTTATCCAGCTCCACGCCATTTAGTTGATGACATACATTAATATCGACAACATACGTACGCCAAGTCTTCGTCGGAACCCAGCGTCTTCCCTGCAAGGATGTCACTGGCCGACTGGCTGAACTTGGTGCTGAAATCCTCTCCTGCTCGCTTGCTTCTCACAAACAGTCGAGTCTTCAGCGACTTTATTCTGGACTTTAGTGGTCCTAAAACACACACGCACATCTTTTAGAATGTAAAAAGTGACAGGTGATAGTCAATGGATGTGTCGTTCTCTGGAGTCCATGTCCAATATTCAACAATCATAAAGTAAACTATATGAACGAGACATACCGTAGCAAGAAGAGACACCTCAACAATTTTGAGAGTGACAAAACAAGATGTCACAGAATGGTTAGTTATGAACCTTATGTCACTTTGAGCTTCTCTTTTTGTCTTTGTGTCATTTTCAGGCTATGGAGGCGAAGGTTTCATGACAGATTTTCGTTCCTACGGCGGCAACAAATTTGTACGCAAATCAGACTGTCCCGTCGTCTGTCAATAGTCGCTAATGTGGTCGTAAAGTCATGATTACAGGAAAAGTTTGGATGAAAAAGAAACATAAAACAATCGACTGTTTTATGAGCCGTTTATCAGACGCTTGGGCTGACAGTGCTCTCAACTCATCTGCAGATAAAACAAAAATCCAGCATTTATCTTTGGATGGAAAAACGTTTGCTTTCTGAATCACTTTCTGACTTGGACAGGTTACGACTTGCTGATGTGTTCACAGTTGATGGATGGGCAGGCTCTCGAGAGAACCACCTTTTTGTATGGAAGCAATTAAAAAGACACTTCTCCCCCTTGATGCATGTGTGCCATCTTTGATAGATTGCTCGATAATCTCACCTGAAGTATCCTCGGCGCTCTCCTCTGTATCCACAGAGAGGGCCTCCATTTGTCTGCCTGGTACAAAGTGGTTGGCACAAAAGCGCAAATGACCAGAGGCCACCGGGACGAGTTCCCCGTTGTTTCCTGGGTAACGATATATATTATTGTTTGCGCATAAGCAAGCTGAGCAATAAGGCTCGAGATTTGAAACAAAGACTGGAGGTTCAAAGGTTTATTGGTTTTATCAGGAACGGGACCAACCTTTGTTGTTAGAGGGTGGGGCGCCGTGCACCCTTTTGGCCTTTTAACAAGATGACTGTCCGCTCACAGGACACTTCATTAGGTATACCTGCAGACGAGATTGAATCAGTGTAAGATTGTTAAATAACACTGGTCAACAGCATGTTTTAATCAGAGATGGCTTACATATTTTTGACCCTGATTTCAAACTTGTCTTCATTTGTTTTCCTAACATGTCAGGTTTTTGAGATATTTTCATTTTTTTATTTTTAAGTGTGACCGATAAAAAGCTTGCACGATTCGGATTTTACCATGTGGTCTAATTTATAGCTATGATGTTCTAGAAAAAAAATTCCATCTGCAGCTGAAAGTCACCCTTACATCAAATATATATTAAATACTAAATACATATTACCATTCTGCATATTATTTCTTACTATTTATTTATGATACATATGCACAGAAAGACCCAGTAAAGTGAATTCAGAGATTTGTTTCATCATAAATTACACATAGTATTTGAATATAATTTCTGAAAACATGCAAACACTAAAAACTATTCAACTTAATTTGGCTGAGTTGTGTTGTAACGTCACAATATTTTACACCAATTCAGTTTTTCTGTTTTTTTCCCTTAAAATGCCACCACATGACATTTTGGATCCCAGCATGAGTTGCATTTGAGACCCTTTGTTCCCATCAGTGGCTATCTGACACAACTGTGAGATGCGGTTAGTTAGCTAGCTTTGCCTACACAATGAAAATGCATTTTCGTGCCTAACAGCCCACTGGCATGGCAACTTTAGAGTGCCTCATTGTCAGCCAAGAGTGCACGCATGGCACCCAGGGAACAGCTACAAAGAAAAAAAAAGAAAAGAGGAAGTCCAACTAGACAGGCAGTGTGTGGATCGAGGCTTCAGGCTGACGCATCTGCTTTAGAGCACCTAGTTGTTAGCCATGAGTGCACAAACATCACAGAGACAAGGCAAATAATTGGGTAGTGGTGTTTGTGTGTGTGTGTGTGGGGGGGGGTGGGGATGAGTCCGGCCTAAAAGCCAATGTGTGGACAGGGGCTTTGTGGAAAAGCTCCCCCACGATCCGTTGGAATATATTCCTACCACTGGAAGCTTTAAGCGGCTATATTTTCCAGGCTCCAACATAGTTATGTGAAGTCATAAGAAAGATGCTGGACCAAGTAACATTCATTCGTTCTTGTCCTAACGTCGTGGTGTCAACAAATTCTGTGAATATGACCCTGGCATCTAAAAACAGCTTGATGTTTCGTTATTTTGAAACCTCTTTTTATACTCTATCCTTGACTTTTTCAACAACTTAAATTTGGCAGTACTCTTCTCTGTGGTGTGTCAAATTTAGAAGCCGTGACATTTCATAAATTTTTTTTAATATTATATGGTGGCGGCAGGTTGATCCCGGAGCAGACTAACTCAGTCTGTTTCCATTCAGACATTTTTCTCTCTTCGGGGAACTACTGTATTTATCAGGAGCTAAAATTGTCCAGCTGAAACACCGATGCAACCCTGCTTCCCTTGGAAGTCACTATGGCTCATTTCTGTGCTTTCTTGCTGCGTGCATCACACACTTGCTCTAGCTTGGACAGCCTGGCGGTAAGTGCTGTTGTCAACAAAGTGCCCTGGTATCACGATGAAGACGAGATGTGTCAGCTTGCAAAAGCAAAGTCCAGACTGCACCTCTCATGTCAGCAGCCCGCTCTTGTTTTGACAAACACGTGACCCGGAGGAAAAGCGATCTTAAAGTTAATTTCATATGTGGATGATAACAAACAAGGCTGATGCACCTGCATGAAGCAAGAAGAAATTTTTGGGAGCCTTAAATAAAAACAGATAATCTCAATGACAGACTTCATTTGTCACAGCGGACCCCATCTCTCCCTAAAAAAACAAAAGTCAAGTACCTCAACGCACCAGCAGGTCGACCCGGGACCCCCTCAGGTGTCTGTTGTCCCCCAAATTGTCCTGTCAGCGTCCTGTGCTGTTTGAACCTGCAGGCTTGTCGACCACATCTGCAGAGAGGCAGGAGGAGGAGGAGGGAAGGCGGAGTGAGTGGAAGAGAGAGAGAGAGAGGGAGAAGGTCACTCCGTGGCGGGACAAGCACATGCACAAAAAGAAAAGAGGGCAGAATAGAATGAGACAGAGGGAGGGAGGGCGTGTGAGAGAGAGGACGAGAGATACTCTATTACAGGAGTAGCACACTGTGGCCTTCTGCGCTAAGCTCCTTATAAAACACTAACCTGATTTTGGGCCCAGAAATGAGAGAAAAGGAGGGAGGGGAGTGGAGGGCTGGGGGGAAGGGGAGGGAAAAATGAAAGCTGTACTTGGAAACAGGACAACAATGAATGTTCTCACTAACTCTCTCGTAAAGGGGAATAAAAAAAAGGTGATAAAATGGTCACTTTGTGTATCCAAAATGTCAGCACATTCTCACCCATAAATATAACTTTTTTTTTTCTTTTACTGTAGGCTATATCTGGGTTGGGAGAGGCCTACTCTATTACTGAGCCATGCTGCCCCAGAGATGCATTTTTTTTCATCATATTTATCATATCTTTATTGTCATTTAGTTTTATGCTTTATGGTCTTGAAAAATGCATTTACAAAAAATATATACATATGTGCATTTATTATCTCAATTTTGTAATCATTTCATATAATTTTCAAAACAGACTATCTGAAAATGCATTTGTCAAAAATTTAATTTTCCACGCTGAATTAACAAAGTATCGACTCATGAACATAAATATAAAACTGTAATAATATAAAACTAAGTGCTCTACAAATAAAACTGAGTTGAATCAAACAAAGCAAAACTACTCACCAATCGAAGACAATGGGCAGGCTGGAACAGGAAGGTGTTTGTAATCCTGTCCCTAGTGGTGTTAATGTTTCTTTGCAATATGTATTATTTAAGACAGTCATTGTGTGGTGCCCTGCTCTTCGCGGGGGAAGGGACCTGCATAGCGGACATCTGCAAATTATTTAGCATCCTTAAAATTGTATTTGAAATGACCACTACCTGCCTCCCCAAAAAGTTTTTTTTCTTGAATCTTGAATAACCCGGGGATATATTGGCAATAAGTGTTTTCAGGGGCACACCCTGAACGGGTTGCCACCCAATCCAGGGTACACATAGACGAAAGACCATTCACACTCACAGTTACACCGAGGGACAATTTAAGAGGTTTTTTTTTTAACCCTTTCAGGGACAGCGGCCACTACAGTGGACAATTTGTCATGTGATTATATATATAGATAGATAGATACACACACACACACACACACACACACACACACACACACACACACACACACACACACACACACACACACACATATATCTCTCGCAATGAGGCTTCTAGTCATCACACAAATTCCCCCCACCACCCACAGCACCAAGCCAGCTGTTGATGTGGATTACCTCAGTGAGGCCTGCTATGTGGTGCTTAATTCAGCCATTCATCGATTCAGTGCATGTCATCTGTACTTCCACAGGCCAATACTGGTGGCATGTCACATCGATACGTCTTGTATTGTAATTGTATTGAGACAGACAGCATTGGATTGTAACTCGAAGTCTTTCTGTTGAGGAGTTTTTTTTTTTGTGTGTGGGAGCTACACTGTGCTGCTTGATGCACGCGCCCCTTTCCGGGATTAGAATTTCCTCCGGTGGACCGCATGCATGCAGATGACATATCGAGATTAAGGCCGATAGATAATCCGATCATAACGCTGTTTCAACTCACACGGCCCACGGTTCATTCACACTTTTCAAGGCAATGTCAACGGGCCACTATATTAGGTACACCCGTACAAACAAATGCTTAGGGGGGTAAAAAGGGCCACACCTCCAATAGGCACCTAATCTTCCGTGAGTGATGGGAGTCATACAATATTTTTTCACAAAATAATTGACTTATTTGTTCGAAATGGCATAAAAATTACACTCTTTAATATGACTCATAAAACACATCTGTAAAAAAATAGATAGCGAGCACAAACAAGACAGAGCAAGATGAAGCAAAATAATATTATAATGATCTGGTATTGTTGCAAATTTTCTTGAACGAAACCCCACAGTTTCTTTATAAAATGCACCAGATCACTCTCATTTTGTTCTACTATATGCCATTCAAAAACAAAAATATGTGTATTTGTGCAAGTCATTGACACAACATGTCATGGAGTTGAATGGAAGGTAATTGGCTGTGTGTGTCTCATAGGGTTTTGGTGTGTTTTTTATGGAAAATGTCTACTGTGGTCTTGTGGCACTGCCTGAGGTCATAGTCACAGTATCCAATGGAGAACCGTCCCTGCGGGTTATCAAAAGAACACATGAGAACATACAACGCAAATCTGAAGTCAGAACAATAAAATGTTAATCGTGTCTCACTTTTGGTCTCTTGAAGTAATCCAGCCCTCTTCCGATCTTGATGATCCAACCGTTATCAAACCTACAATTTCACCTTTGATCACTTTCGGTGATTGACATTTTTTTAAGCCACTGCAGAATAATGGCAAACCAGAAAAATGTGACGACGACCATAGAACAGAAAGTAATTATTGCTCAGTTTGCGAACGTCACATGACCAAACTCAGAAAATGAGTGAGCCGTGAGCGGTTTTTGCTGAGCCCTGAGTAATTGTGACGGCATTTTCAGCAAGTGGCAAAATGGCCACCTCATGATATGGATAAAAACATGTGGATTCTGCTGCTCATTTCATATTCTACAAAGACATCTATCAGAGTACTGTGCTTGGATTTGTGGGGCTGCATAGAACATACTATCCAAAAAAAATTTGGACTTGACTTCCCCTTCAACTGATTTCATACAATCTCCACACGGTGTTGCATGGCAGTTTTTTTTCACACTACTGCTGACGTGTGAGTGTGAGGCATGTTGGAGTAAGTACCTGATCTCTCTGTCGTGTATGGTGGTGGAATACTGCAGGTCCAGAGTGACACCGTGAGCACTGAGGCTCTGCGTCAGCTCGGCCATCGAGCTCGTCTGTTGTCCGACATCCACCTGCACAACAACGCACATTAATGGTGGTGGAATAGCTCTTGAACTGAATTTCACTCATGATCGACGCAACTGCAGATAGGGCCGTGCCTCTATTAGAATAATGTTTTTAAATGTATGTGTGAACATAAGCATCTATGAACTGGTGTACTGTAATTACACTTTATAACCGTTTTCTTGATGATGGGGCTCAGGGGGGAAAGAGGTGTGAATTGCAGGGATGCATGTTTTTGTGTTAACTGAAGGTGGTGTAAGACCTTGCTGGTTGACAAAACTTACATCATCTGGTGACGTCAGGAGGTGGATGGTCTTCACCTTGCAGGACGCTTTGAGTAGCATCTCGCAGAACCGCAAGAAGTTGTACAACTGCCGTGCATAAAAACGTGACTTGTGTTCAGTTCCCAAAAAATGATCGCAACCCCAGTAAAATGTAATCAGAGCCAGGAAGATGACTGTTGTCATTAATGTGTTTTATCCTGTTATTGTTCTCTATTCTTTTTTTTTTTGTTCAGTTCTCTGTTTTCTCAGGCTGCCACAATAGGGTGGTAAAAAACCTACTTTTTGGTGAAATGAAGCTCCTCAACTCACTTCAACCGAGTTCCTTAGCACCAAAATTGCAAACAAGCCTTTCTGTGAATACCATATATCTGCAAGTATCTTAACGTGTATCAAATCTCAATCTCAATTTGTTTATAAATGCGGGGAGACGGCGGAAAAGCACCACTCCTGTCCTAACAAGGCTGCTCGCTTCAACATACCACAAAGCTGGTACACAATGGCGGCAAAGCACTACTTTTGTTCCAATGGGAATTTCTCCATTGTGAGATGAATAAAGGTTTTATTCTTATGAAGCCTGTTGTACAGTAAAACTACTCAAACAGATACACCGTACTGCATGCCAAATCATTCGAAAAGGAGAGGTTAAAAAAAATAAATAAAGAAAAACATCCATGAAAAAAGTTGTGTTTTTGCACATTCATTATTTCAACCTGGTGAGTGTGTCGTATGTAGGGGTCCTCCACCCAGACCTCTGTGAGAGCACCGCTGATGTACGGCTTGAAAATGGCCTCGTAACTGTAACCAATGGCATCCTCCGCTATCCTTACCTGCTCGTGGTACTTCCCCTCTGAGAACAAAGAGAAAGAGGGCAAGAAAAAAAACCAAAACATGAAGCAACCATCAAACCACCCGTCCAATGTGACATATCCAACCAACCATTTCTCAATATGGCCAACATTTAATTAAAAATAAAATTGAAATTATGAATATGTTGTGGGTTGAACTGAGATTTATATAACACATCAGTAGGAATAGACAAAACTTAAACAAAAAGCACTCTACTCAGACACAGCGCCTCCATCACGCATGTCTTGTATTAAAAGAATGCTCAAATTCACATTTCCATCTGAAGGAGTGACAACATTTTCAGCGCATTGCCGACCCATGCCCATAAATGTAATTTATGTAAATGTCCCCAGTGTGGGACAAATAAAGGATATCTTAATATCTTAATAAACAGCAAGAGAATGAAGAGACATCCGCATTTTCAAAATGTAAGTACAGGCACTACTTTGAAATCAACACTTAAAAACAAAAATATGAAGGTTTGTTGCACATTCTGTGCTGTTGAGTGTGTGCTGCGGAGGGCTTTGGGCACCACATTTTGCAGATGAGGCGTTACATAAGTGCGCTTCGTTGACCACTTTATTTATTACCTTCCTTCATCTGGTTCACATGAGCTTTGATGTGTTCTGCCCTGTCCATATAGCCCTTTATCTTTTCCCTGTAGTGTCCTCTCTTCGAGTCATCGTTCACTGCTGCTGGCGAGACAGACATCATTGTAAATAGTCTAGTACATATACTGCTGTGAATGCATCATTCTGAGTAAGGGGGCGATGTGTGTTGGGGAGGTGGGGGGACCTTTTTGAATGTCTATGAGCAGCTGAATGCCTTCTTGGTAACAGACGAGAGACTCCAAAAACCGACCGCTCTGGTCCAATTCCACCGCCCGCTTCAGTACAGAAATGGCGGACGACTCCATACCTGGCAGGTGATTTTGAGTCATCTTTGCCAAATGTGGCGTCACCACTTGAGAGTTTAGGGTTTAACAGTGGACATGCGTGGTACAACACGAGAGAAACGTCAGTAACAGCGACAGTGACAGCGGTTCCGTATAGTTCCCTGTGAGTACGTTGCCAAAACACGGCCGTAGGAAACGCAAGGACTGCTTTTGTTCCGCCAGTTAGACGAGAGGTAAACCATGAAAACAGTGCAAATAAAAAACACAGTTGCACTTTACCCAATGTCGAAAGCTCCCATTGAAGCCATAACTCCAGAATTGAATTTTTTTTATTTTGTAGAAAGAAATGTTTACATTCTAATCATTTTTTAATTATACACGCGTGTGTCTCACTTGACGTATTTCCGGTTCCGGGCGTGGTTCAATGGACGCGATCATGTCTTGTGTTGTCTTCTTCAGCTTCCCAAAAGAATTTCTTCTCCGTTCGTATTATTAATATTTTGCACAATAATACATCGCCGTTCTGCATATTATCATTTCAATTTTCGTCATATCATTGAAAAACTCTGGACTGGGTGTGCATGCTTTTACGCGACTTCTGGTATATTAACCTTGTCCTGCATGAGGGTCAATTGACACTGAATGGATGCAACAAGCCACTAAAATGTCAGCGTTCGGTTTAAAGTCGTCATCCGTCAAGGTAAGAGCTTCACTTGATATATACGAATCTACTGTGGTGTTTGAAAAAATGTAGTGAAGGACTGTGCGTTTCATATTAGCAATAAATTAAATTAGCTAAAGTTGATTACCTTACTTTAGCTATCAGTCGTGTTTTAAATTTAAAAGCATTTTGTTCATGTTTGCCTTATGTGTTCTTTGTCATTAGTTTATTAACTGTATATGTTGATGTTATGACAGGTCCTAACAGGATTTTCACGTTGTCTTTGGTTTGGGCGCAGCAAATTTACCAGAGCAAGAATTCCACCAGAGGTTAAAACGATTTTCTTCGCATTTTAACATTCAGTCTGCTTTGTAATACTCATAACCTTCTTCGTCTGTTGTCCTAATAGCTCTTTGCAGAGCGGTCGAGAGAACACGAGAAATACGGTGGCGACCCCGAGGAGCCTCACAAACTCCACATCGTGACGCGAGTCAAAAGCGTGATGAGACGGCCGTACTGGGAGAAAGTTATGGTGAAGCACCTGGGCCTCCAAAAGGTGAGGCTGCTCTTCAGCCGACGACCGTCTTTTAACTCGGTGCCTTATTTAGATGTGGACCTGAAAGGTGCTGTCACTGTCATACAGGGAAACGTGCCTGTGATCCACAAGAACATACCTGCGGTGAACTGCAGACTCAAGTTCATCAAGCATCTTGTCAGGTATGAGATGCTGCGTATGAAAACATGAGGTTGTGAGGTTGGGGGGGGATCAAACAAACAAGAGTCCAGCTGCCTTGATTCAACCTAGCATGACCTGGGGATATGGACTGGGCTGGCCCGCGAATAGCAAAAACCATTATAAATGCATTGAAGTAGAAAAACAATGTAACCCCCCCCCCCCCAAATTCTTGGGAAAACCCAAACATAAAAATACAGTATTTAAACATGGGGGGGGGGGATCTGCTGGGGTCCAGTCTATTTCTTTATTAGGTTATAGGTTTCACATTTCAATTTTTATAGCTACCATACTAATAGTGATGAGATTCTCATAGTATGATCCTTGTATTTCATTATACTTATCCTTTTTGTTTTCAAATATCCTAGTTATCATTATGCAAATGTTCTGACTGTAACTTCATAATCATTTAGTTAAAATATTTAAGTCAGTTGCTAAACTGTGTATTGTTTTAACATCAGTATTGTTACACTTGTAGAACCACACATAGACAATGACTATTTATAATTTTCTTTGCATTATATGCCAGACAATGAGATATTCTTTCATTTTAATTGTACTTATTTTTAATAGGACCTACAATTAAATATTGCTATGAGGATAGGTAGAGATGAAATGACAATCAATATACCTTCAGGATCGAGCCACTGAGGACACCGTACGGGCTCCCTTCCGAGCAGGACATGGCTGACAGCTACATCAACAGCAAAGGAGAGCTGATTGTTCGACGCCTGCTCAACCCAACCAAGGCCATTGAGTCCTAGAGCCTTCATATATATTGCCAGTGTACCCAGTACCATGTTTTCTCATCTGCACCATCCAACTGATGGATCCGTAGAACACAACGCCCCTTTTTGTATTTCTTGTATTGCAGCTGTCAGTCAAACTGCACCACGCTGGTGACCCAGTTTGACAGGCAAATTCGTTTCAAACTCATCACTGCAAATGTTATACTAAAAAAGTAATTGTGAAAGCACAAGCGGTCTGTAATATTATTAACCCCACCAAGGAGATTTTTCATAAGTGTGAGTTTGCTTTATCACCTGTGATTTAGTTATGACGGGTAGTTCATCTGCAAAGGATATTTCCATTTGAATTTTGACATCTGATTTGAAGTAATTTTCTTTTACTAATCATGAAAACATTTGAACAAATGCTGAAGAACACAGTGATAAAAGAAAAAAGGGCTGGCTGACAGACGTTATAAAGGAGGTAGCCCAGAGAGAGAAACCAAGACGGCTGTCAGCGTCCCTCAGTCGTCGTCGTCGTCAGAATCCGTGTCGTAGCCGCGGCCCCTGATGGTCTTTTTCTCCACTTTGGTGAACCTGGAGTGAGGCTTCTGTGTGGATGTGGGCGGCTCCATCAGGTTACCACTATGGGGAATAAAAGTCAAGGAAATGCATTGAGGGAATATCAAACGCAATTTAAAAACATAAAAAAAAAAACGAACCTTTTTTTGGTGACAGTCAAAATAGATGCCACAGGCTTTGCGATCAAGCGATAGAATGTTGCGATTGCAAGCAGACTAATTGGCAGTTGCAATTAGAAATAGAATGAAAAATCTATTGGTACAGTATATGACAATAATTACGAAAATAAAAGTTACAGAAGTAAAAAAAAATAAAGAAAATAAAACCATATTCTTATCATTAAAACAGAAATAAGACACACAATATCTCCACTTCACAATGTTAAGTAATTCTACAAAAGAAAATGCTGGCGTGTTGGAATGACTGAAGTGTTTGCGATCAAGCGATAGAATGTTGCGATTGCAAGCAGACTAATTGGCAGTTGCAATTAGAAATAGAATGAAAAATCTATTGGTACAGTAAATGACAATTACAAAAATAAAAGTTACAGAAGTAAAAAAAATAAAACCATATTCTTATCATTAAAACAGAAATGAGCCACACAATATCTCCATAATGTAAAGTAATTCTATAAAAGAAAATGCTGGCGTGTTGGAATGACTGAAGTGTAAAATAGCCCCCCCCCCCCACCCCCCCTTTTGGACGTTTTTCCTCTTACCACAAATTGTACATCAATGGACGAACCACATCGATGTCAAACTTAAATTTTGATGGCACAGGACCTTTACTATTTTGGCTACAGCATCAATCAGTTTTATTGGCTTCGGTTGCATTTACACTGCAGGTCCCAGTGCCACATTCTGATTTAATACCCATCCCCAATTTTGTTTTGCATTGGCATGTACTTTTTTCATGTAGCTGTGTTGTTTACGCTGACAGACCCCATGGAACAATTCATATGTGCAGCCCAAATTATATGTAAATAATGCTGTACCAATTACAGTAAGACATTTGAATGAAAGCCTGCACTTTTAAAGGTCCCGTGACATCAAAATAGCCCTCCCCCCAGCCCCCCTTTTGCAAGTTTTTCCTCTTATCACAGACTGTACACCAATCGACAAACCGCATCGATGTCAAACTTAAATTTTGATGGCATAGGACCTTTACTATTTTGGTTACAGCATCAATCAGTTTTATTGGCTTCGATTACATTTACACTGCAGGTCCCAGTGCCACATTCTGATTTAATACCCATCCCCAATTTTGTTTTGCATTGGCATGTACTTTTTTCATGTAGCTGTGTTGTTTACGCTGACAGACCCCATGGAACAATTCATATGTGCAGCCCAAATTATATGTAAATAACTGCTCAAAAACATTTTTTTTTTAACGGGGTTTCCTGAAAAGTGATGGATTCAAGGTGCAAGGGTTCCCGCCTGACGGCACTGATATTTACCCCGCAATGTATATCTCAACCGTAGAGAGGTAATATAATAAAAAAGTGACATCACCTGAAAGTGGAGTTTCGGCATAGGACCTTTACTATTTTGGTTACAGCATCAATCAGTTTTATTGGCTTCGATTACATTTACACTGCAGGTCCCAGTGCCACATTCTGATTTAATACCCATCCCCAATTTTGTTTTGCATTGCCATGTACATTTTAATTTCATGTAGCTGTGTTGTTTACGCTGACAGACCGCATGGAACAATTCATATGCGCAGCCCAAATTATATGTAAATAACTGCTCAAAAACATGATTTTTTTTTTTTAACGGGGTTTCCTGAAAAGTGATGGATTCAAGGTGCAAGGGTTCCCGCCTGACGGCACTGATATTTACCCCGCAATGTATATCTCAACCGTAGAGAGGTAATATAATAAAAAAGTGACATCACCTGAAAGTGGAGTTTCTGTAGAAATGACACACAACTTTCTTGCTCTCCTTCACCTCACCGAAGAACTCTTTCTCACTGGGAATTTCGCGGTACTCTCCGTGTCCTTTAGACAACCACTCCTGTGATAACGGAAACAAAGAGGAGCAAACATATTCTTGCTGTAAAAGTATGAGGGTGTGACGTTAACATTTTAGGAATTCCTTTTGTTCTAATATAACTCATATAGAGTGTAGTTTACCAAATGCAGAGAGTAAAACGTAAGTGTTCATTAGTGTGGAAAATGTGCTTTGTTCTATAAAAAAAGACACACCTGCTTCTGTTTCTGGGCTTTCTTTAGTGCCTCGAGTCGTCGTTCCCTCATTTTTTCAAAGTCGTCTTCGTCCATTTCGTTAAGTTTGGTCAACTCTGCATCCACCTGATCCTCCACCAGCTTGGCAGACTGCACCAGAACCTTTGTGATGTTTTCGATCATGTCGGTGGCCATGGTTGCCCGTGCCGTGTCGGACCTGATGGCGAATTGTACACACTATCAACTTTGAAACATCTGCAACAGTGGCGCATACAACAGACAAATAAAAAACAAAAACTTGATGGTGAAATAAAGCACGTTAACACCTTGAGCTTCATTACGTAATGTTCAGTAAAACTACGTTGAGTTATTTAATGCCATGTTAGTCTTCCTTTGTCTGTGCAGCTTTTCCTCATAAGACATGGATTGTGGTCCGCAGTCAAAAACAGGATACAAAATAAAGCATTCAAACCACATTTATACCTATGGACAATGTAGAATATGTGAACCACCGACGTATAAAGCCCGTAGTTAACCAGGGACACGCCTCTACAATAGCTTCTTAGCAGATGTCAGTTACCGGGTGAGGCCATTTGTTAGTCTCATTTGGCTTCCACCCAAAATAACAAGATGCTTGCGAGAAAACCCTAAAAATATAAGCTACGGCAATGTATCATGGCGCCACTGACAGGGTTTATGTAAGTTTTTACGAAGGAATGAGCTAAAAACAAACAACTTTCACCCCGGCATCGTTCGTTACCTGATAGCGACGTTGTTAAGAAAGGAGAGCCGAGAACGGAAATGACGACTTAGTTGTGCGAAGACGACGGGTTGACATTTTTGTGGTGCATACCGCCGCCTACTGTACGGGAGGTTGCAAATGGACTAGAGCTGGGCCACTGAATGGTGTTCTCCCATCTGCGGGCAGGTGTAGGTACTGTATTACTTTTGTTTCTTTTCAAGCCAGTTTCGGGCAGTGGTACTGTATTACTTTTGTTTCTTTTCAAGCCAGTTTTTATAAAATATTAATTCAGGTGGTTTGTAATTTCTTTGGGTTTAGTAATAAACGTACCTCCACACTCAATGCACGTGGGTTGTGGAGTTACATCCCATTACAGTATATTATTTAGTATACTCCATAGCTTTTTCCCATCATTCTTTGTCCCACTTAACTGTAAACCATATTATTGTTTCTTTTTCCTTTGATTCGGTTTGGTAACATGAATCCTTAACTTGCAGTACTTCTGTTGGTCAATTATGGAACCACTCTTTTGAGCAATTTCTTTTGCAGCATTCCATTTAGTCATGCAGCCCTTTAATTCTGTTTCAACCCATGGAGCCCTGTAAGTCTTCAATGTTCATTTTTTCAATAACTGGTTGAAACTTTTTAAGAAAGGAATCTATTGCTGCATCTGGTTCTTTTCCTTTATAAATATTAGACCAACATATATTGCTAACGTCCTGCAGGAATGCACCCTCAGAGAAAGATCTATAGGACCTTCTGTACACAACCCTTGGTTTGGCTTTAGGGACTTTACTTCTTCTAGCAAATGCTACCACACTGTGGTCACTACAACCTATTGATACTGACCCAGCTTTGGTCTAAAAATCCCCTTCACTCAAGTGATTATGATATATACAAGGTGAGTATTGATTAGGGCAAGTCAGAGGAAGTGACTTAAGACAAGCACAATAAAATTAAAAGTTACAGTTTATTTTTATCAAGCTTTAGAAAACGTTCACAGCTTCAGGTCTTCAGGCACAAGCCAGAATTATAAAGATAAAACTTGGCCCGTTCAAAAATGAGGCCCACTGGCTTTTGCCAACATGACGACGTGGAGGGGGGGAAGAAGAAAAAAAAAAGAGTGAAGCAACAACTTCAAAACTGAACAGATAGTTCTTAAACAAATATCTGGAAATATTACACTAATTTGGTTTGCATAATATTTCTTTTTTTTTTTTTTTCTTCCAGCCAAGCACAGCATTTCTGAGTGGGCGGCTAATGTCATGCAATACAAATTTGGGCTACAAAGTTAAAAATGTAACATTGTTCAGCTCAAACTTACATCCAAAGGGACATCTTCCTTACCACATATCACAAAAAAAAAAAAAAAAAAATTGTAGAGGCATTATATTGAGGAGAGTGACAATCAACTGGTAACCTCTGAAGTGCTTTCTTTCCAAAGACCAAAACGGTCCAGTTTTTAGTTACTAAGAATTCACTAAATGTAAACAACAATACAAGAGGTAAACCCTTTACTTCCAATAAACAAGTACATAAAAAAAAATATTTACATACTTTAATGCAAGGATTTGGCACTTTTTTTTTTTTGCAAAAGGTTAAAAAGAAACATGATTGTTTATTTATTTTTTTAAATTGTATCAGATATGACCAGATATATGAGGGGAGAGAGAAAAATTCTTACACTGGAAAAGCCTTCTACCATTGCATTGGAATCAATTTGCAAAGTACAGTGGAACCTCCAAAGCCTGTTGCCCCAAAAGTGGTACCATTTGGAGTTGGGGGGAACGCGCCTCCAAAAGTCAAACAATTTTGACTGTCACTCATCATTTTGTGAGACTTTAAGCCGGGGAGCATCTAAAGGATTAAATGAGTATTTGTTAAAATGTTACTTAAAACTTCATTTTGCATCATTTCCTATGTGAAATCAACAATTTTTTAAATCAACTGTCGTCACAGAGTGGACTGTGTTCCAGTTTGGAGGCTCCACTGTTTTCCAAGACAGGATACTACCAAGAAAACATGAAGAGAGTCTATGTCTCAAAATCCGTTGACTTGGTTTTGAAAAGACAAGAAAATGCTGCATGTATACAAACCAACTTGGAATACAATCGTGGCTTTTAAAGTATTCCTCACTTGGCTCATGCTGTATAAGAAACCATGAATTTATGTTGCTACAGTTGACCAGGTCCGTGCAGCTTACAGAACCCAGCAATTGGCCGAAGAAAGAGTTCAAACGGAGGAAAAAGTGGAAAAGCTGGCATGGATTTTCATGCGATCTTTAGGGTGCTACCGTAGGCTTGCTGCACAACCACCTGCACGTTGTCCACAATGAAGTCAAAGGCCATACTCCACACGGACTCCAGTGACTGCTGCATGATCCTGCGGGCCCAAAATGGACAATGTTATTTGTTTTCTGTGCTGAAGAGCAGCAATCGATTAATTATGAATCAAACTTGCCTCTTCATGTATTTTATGATCAGATCCAGCTTCTCCAGATCTTTGTCTTCGATTAGATCAGTGCAATATTTCACCACCTGTAGGATGTCCTCTTCCATGGGGTCTGACACAAAGTTATGATACATTCCTTTCATTAATCACAATGACTAACTCGTTTGACGGCTAGTGCAATATAAGTCTAAAATGAGTCACTCAAAACGTTTGACTTTGAAGTTAGATGTCTTCACATCAAGAGATGATTCAGATTGGGCAGTCCTACTTTTTTCTTTCTTTCTTTCTTTCTTTCTTTCTTTCTTATTTATTTATTTATTTATTTATTTTTAATGCGAAGCAATAGAAGGCACAGCCTCAACACAGGATTCAAGAGAAAAATGCAACTAAAACAATATTAGAATCAATGGTGTCCCAAGACCTTTGTCCAACTCACAAGTTAAGGCAGAATTGATTTATTTTGGGCTTTTTAAGTGTTTAATTCAGTTCTTCGCTTATGAGATAAAATGATTGCCGAATATGTTATGAAAGTTTAACGATGGAGGGAGCGATTTATATTTCCATTATCTCCTCTTTAAATTGAAAAAGATTCACGGCCTTAGTAAAATATTTTACGATGACATTTTTTCAACTCATTGTGACGACTGTCATTAGTAGCTTAAAAAAAAAAAGCCAAATGCACCATCTCAAGAATTTACTATATAACATAAAAATCAATTTGAATGAAGAAATAAGGAAGTAATTGGCTTTCTGAAAAGTATTCTGGATCTGTGTCAGGAATTTACATAATATATGAGTTTCATTTGTTGAATTGAACTACTTAATTTTTTTTTTCCCGATATTCAAATTAATTGCATACATGGCAATGGCGAGTGATGAAAAAAGTTCCCGATATTCAAATTAATTGAGATGTAGCTGTATAGAAGAAGGTGCATGTCTACCTGTCATGGTGGTCACCCATTCCCGTAACAGTGTTTTAATATCCGGTAGCTCAGAGGCTCCGGCCAACGCCGGAGGAGGGCGAAGGATGCATTTTGGCAAAGGCTCTGGGATGTCCTGTTTTGAAGAGGATGTGGATGGACCGTTTTCAGCCTGTGGAAGCAGAAGGAAGTATGGGTTATGTTATAAATGTTGCATTTTCAACAAAATCGTTTGAGCATCTACCTTTAAGACATTCAGAGGCTCCTTAAGTTTCGTAAAAGGTGGTGCGGTTTTGGCAGGGCTGTTCATCGGGTGGTACTTCTTTTGAGGCGATGGGCCCTTTTTGGCAGGGCTTACTGTGTTCTTCCTCTTGTATCGCCGCTTCACTCGTCCGACGCCGACTCCTACAGATTGCTTCAGCTGCAAAAGTGCATTATTTTGCTCCACTGTTGGGAAATAGGAATGAGAAAATGAGGAGGGGGGTGGAGGGGGGGGGGACAACAACAACATTGCACTGCAAATAGAAGTTGAACACTTCAAAGTCTTACGCATTTTTGTCTGAGGCTGGTTATTTGCAGCACGGTTGTAGGCAGACTTGAGTTCCTCCTGTAGCTCTTTGGGAAGAGCGGCGAAAACTTCTGGGTCAACCTGCAGTCACACATCAGAGAAGAAATATGCCACTTTGTTTGGAAATAAATGTGTTCTTTATGGAAAGAATGTTGCCACCTTCTTAAAACAATGGCCTAAATTCTATTTTGACAAAACAAAATAAAAAATACCCGATACATCTTCTCATGATGCTGGACACCTCTGCTAAAATCAGCAGCATCCTTAGTTAAACAGATCATTCCATTCTACCTCTGAAATTAAATTACTATTAAATATAATATACAGTCATAAGTATTTCTCAAAGGGTTATTTAAATGTGAAAAGGGTCAGAAAATTTGAGACCTATTGTTGTATAGATCTCAAAACGAAGTACTCTGCGGTGCAAAATACAGTAGTGCAAATAAACACAAATAACAACTGATGTAAATATTTAACAGATTTTTATTACCTCGAGCTTTACCTTGTCACGGCTAACGTCAGTCATAAGCGATTCATTTCCTTGTTTTGGGCATGTGCTAATGATTGGAACTGTTGTCTTATTTTATTTCTGTTGCATGCTTAGCGATTCCTTGTCGCCCTTTAGTTAGCACTTGTTTGGAGAAGTGATAATTGTAACTAGGAAGAGAGTACCTGCACTGCGCTATGAGCAGCACACCCACACTTTTTTAAACACCTCAGAGATGTTTAGTGTGACCTGTCAACAGGAGCTTAGTTGAGCTTGGAGGGATGGGAGCAACGTTCCCTCTAATTTTCCATGTGTCTGAGCATTCACACAAACTCCCTGCGCATTCCTTGGACCATAAGAAAAATGTACACGGTAGCCAATCCTGTGTGCATGCTTATACTTCAAAACAGTACCGTATGGAAACAGTACCGGAAGTGGGAATGGTGTGGTGTCCTGTTTGTAGCTTAAACTGGGATGGAAATGAAGGAATGATAATTTATGACGTAATGTGTTCACGTGGTGCGCACCAGTTCCACCGTGTGCACTGATAGGGTGAGAGCGATGCTCAGTTGCGCATGCGTGCAGCTTACAGGCAACATCGGATGAGAGCGCTTAAAAACAAACAAACAAAAAAAATACAGCTTTGACAGCTACAAAATCGCATTGTCTGAGATTGCAACAGTTTTTTTCCTTGTAAAAATGCCACTCATCAGCTAATAAAGTTTATGTACCTGGGAGTAGTTAGGCAGCTCCAAAACAATTCCTGGACTATCCGGCTGATTTGGAATCTGCAGCACTAGTGCTGCAGGCGGTGCAGGGGATTTGTTCAGTGCAGGAGGAGGACAAGAAGTGGAAGCCAGCCGTGACTTGGGACTCAAAGGCTGCAGACCACCGTCCTGGTGGTGGTTTGCTTCTTTTCCTTCTCTGCAAGCCCACGACTGCTCCACTTGTAATCTCAGCTCTGTGGGCAGGGCTTCTAACACGGACCGATCCACCTTGGACGAAATAATAAACAATTGTGTATGTGTGTGTGGGTATGAAAAAACTCACAGTCAAATTGAATGCCTACCTGTGAAGGTGAGGGGATTTCAATACTGATGTCGAGTCGTGTTCGGGGATGTTTGGGCGTTTGACTGCATGCTTCATGATCGTTGCTTGTTCCTGGAACTGATGCGTTGGTAGACTGAGGATGTTCAATGGAGTCAGGCGATACATCTTGGATATGTGGTGTCTTTTCCTGATGTTTGTTGTCACCAGCATCTATGATGTACATATTACTTTTTTTTAAGTTTAAAACATTAACAGTGAATACGGTACATCAACTGAAGCACAAAGATACCAACCTTTGCTGGTGGATGCATGACTGAGCAACATCTCTTTGATGGAGCGTGTCCGAAGCCCGTTGACATTGTTGTGAGCAGAGTGACTTCCCTCAAGAAGCTGGACCTGGATGCCCAGGCCTCGGAGGTCCTGCACTGGCAACTTCATAGCGTGGAACATCTTGATGACTGTCGCTGCAATTAGCTGGCCGCTGTCAGTGGACTGTGCGAGCAGCACTGTCCTAGACGAAGGATGAGATCGGAAAGAGATGAGAATACATGAGAATGTAACGAAAAAGTCATTTTAAATACTGCCACTACGTAATGAAATACACTATGTGGGCAACTCTCACTTACTTGGCAAAGTTATCGCATATGCCATGGCCACCGTATTTCGCTGTCTCCTGGGGTGCGCCCTCCTTGCGGACCATGACCTTGAGCGTCACTCTGCGACCTTGCAACCCAGCTTCATGTAGACGTCGCTGCACCTCCATGGACAGGCTGGACAGGAAAGACTCTGCCTCATCAACCTGAAAGATCAATAAGGAAAAGACGTGAGTAACCACTGGAAACTACAACCGCTATAATGCACAGAATGTTCCAGGGAGCATATATAACCTCTGGCAGAAATTTTGGAAACACCCGTCTCAGAGGATGTTCATTCGGTTGTTTAAATTCGTAGCAAAAAAAAAAAAAAAAAAAAGATCACAGACAGGACACAAAACTACAGTCATTCTGAGTATGGAAAAACAAACGGAACCCTGAAAAAAACACCAACAAAAACAAATGAACACTTCAACCAAGTTGGGGCCTTGTCATGGACCACTTTCTTCAACTTCCAAATATTTCCTGTAGCCAGGAAGTTGCCATTTAAAATGACTTGGGTTTTGTGTCATGTCTATGATATGCTTTTTTTTTCTACAAATTTTAAAAACTGAATCAATTGTCATATAAAATCGGAGATACATGCAAGATTCAGATTCCAGGCAAGATACTGGATGTGTAAAGGGTGATTTAACTTTTCATAATTGGGTAATTTTGACAAATCATGTCACAGAAATGTTATGGAGACACGTCTGTCAAACTTGTCTCCTTTGAATGTATTTCTCGATGACACTGCATAATTTTAAATTGAGAAAAAAACTGTCAAACTCGTCTCCTTTGAATGTATTTCTCGATGACACTGCATATCAAAAGTGATCATTGCTTTCATCGGAAAGACAGAATTTTTTAATTGGTTCTCATTGTGCACTGACACCAACTAGAGTGACCAGTGAGTGTCAGTCTTACCTTTTTAAAACGTATATTGTAGTTCATCTCTGCCGACACGGACTTCCTCTCCTTCTCGTAGCGGACAGGTCGGTCATCGAGACCCCTGCAGAAACGGTACAACGTTTGTCCCGATCGTGGTCCAAATTTCTTCTGTAGCTGAGTGAGAGAAACGTGACGCAGGTCCCCGCATGACTTGACCCCAATAGCTGCCAGCTTTCTGCCCATGACAGGCCCCACACCTGAAAAGAAAAAAAACACAATTACAATGCCTTGTACAAGCCGGGAGTGCAAGTTATATTCTCAAAAAACATGAGGTACTGTATGTACCTGGTAAGCTGGTCACTGGCAGGTCCCTGATAAAATCGTCCACTTCCTCTGACTTTAAGAAGTACTGCCCATCGGGCTTGGCCTTGCGTGTCGAAAGCCTAGCCAACAAGATGTTGGACCCTAAACAAGTTGAAGAGTAAGAGTGAATTCTAAATGCTTGCTTCAATTGACACATTAAAAGACAAACTCACCCATGCCAATTGAAGCGCAGCATCCCGTTTTTCCCTTGATGTCTGTTCTGATGGCTTTGGCTAGATCCTCAGGGTCGACACCCAACTCGGCTATGAGAGCAGAGGCGTCGAGCAGTACTTCATCACAGCTCAGAGCCTCGATGTCGTGAGTGTAACTGCAACCGAACACAATAAGAACATCTCCACTGTGTAATATGTCATTTTCCTGACACTTGAGTGCAGGGGTCATACACATACAAATTTCAGCACTGACCTTTCGTGTCTTTTGCTATTCTGTCTGTGCTTAGTTGGTGACAGCACAACAGAAGGGTAATGGCAAATAGGAACCATAAATGCACCCAAAAAGGGAGCCTTTTATAAAGGCACAATATTATAGAGTACAGATTAAAGACATTTCCATTCTATTCTATGGGGAAAGATGATTTGAGATCTGAATGCTTTACTTTGCGGATTTCCCGGGACAAGTTGAACTCGTTTTTCAAAGCACCACTATACATTTTGAATGAGAGGCTGAAAAGAGCACTTCCTCTTACCCAGCCAAAGTCTCATACATGGTGAGGGCCACCTCTTTGTAGGCGTCAAAGTCATACGGGACAGACTGCAGAGTGGGACACAGCTGTTTGGCTTTACCAAAAAACATCCCGTTCTTCACACCTGCCTGCCTGTGAGTGAACGCCAACGCAACAGTTGGCCACACGGTAAGTGAATGTTGCTCAGAAGCACAATGATGTAAAATGCACATCTCACCTTGCAGCATAGCTACAGGATGCAATCTCCGCCATGGAAAGAGCAGCATCTTGATCTATTCCATTAGCGTGCACTTCTGCACAGTCTTGTGGAGCAACATCATGTAAATCCTCAAACTCTTTGTCTGTGAGGCAAAGCAAAGTGCATCTTTTATAAAACTAAGTGCATTTTGAATGGGATATTTAAACATGGATAACCATTCTCACCATGTGGAGCCAGAGTGTATTTCCTCTGGTAGTACTGCTGCTCCAGTTGTGGGTTGGCTCCTGGTCTTAAAGGCACACGCATCTGCCCACGGTTACTAGTCACAGCTACAGGCTTACCTGTGGGGGAAAAAAAAAATATATATATTTATTTTGGTAACCTGATTCAGATGGATTACATCATTAAGTACCCAAACAGCTACGACTGAGGTCTTTAAAAGGTTTTTTAAATGAAAAAAAGGAGCTTTTTCTTCCATTGGGTGTTCTTTTCTGCAGCTATTTTTTGCTTTGTTTTTCAATACTTTTAAATGTTGTCTTTTTAATTATGTATGTAAAGTGCAGTGAGTTACCTTGTGTATGAATGCATTATATCAATGAAGCTGCCTCTCCTTGCTATTGATCAGTATTGTTTTCGTCAATGATGACAAAATTAATTCGTTCACACTCCTTTTTTTTTCATGAGGATGATGAGATGATGAAGAGCAAAATGGTTGAGCAGATCTTCCTCATCGGGGATAAACGACCAAAGATTTTTTTTTTTGTAGTCGACTATAATCTGATTTAAAAAAAAAAGTTTTTTCCACAATGTACAGCGGTTCCCAACTTTTCAGCACCAGGCTGGTATAATGTAAAAATATATTTTTACCGACTGGCACAGAAACAAATAAAAAGAAAAAAAAATCTGCATTATGATTAATATAGTCATTGCAATTAGTGGTAGCAAGTTTTTTTTTTTTTTTTTTTTAACTATTCTATGTCTAAATTTTGCACCAATGTTCTGGTTACAATCTTGGTCCCTTTTTGAGCCACGGCTGGGCG